TTCGTTTTAAGTGCACGCAAAACAACAAATTTCGTCATGTGGTCTTGATAGACGAAAATAAACTTATATTCGTCATCAGGCTGAGACTGAAAATCAATCAAGTCTTTTTGGCATCTGGACTTAAAATGGTGTGAAATTATTGGTTTTACCACAATTCCCTTCTTGATTCCCTTTTTCTTCTGTTCACATGGTTCACACAAATTCAAACATAAGGTAAATGTACCAAACGCTTACTACCTTAGTAGGCCAATTTCTAAAATACTCCATAAATATTAAAAAAAAGTGAAATTTCAAATCTTTCTGGATATCCCAATTCTTGGCCACTGTAGAAAAAATTTGTCCCAGTGGCCGAAACTTCAAGTCCCAATAACTGGCCAGTCGTATCAATTGCACGCAATTAACATTGGCCAGTTATTAGGACACACTAAGAGTGAGGTTACGTTGACAGATGTCCCAAAGCCTGGCCAGCCGACCAAAATCACTTTCTAGTAACACTTTTTTTTAATTTCTTGGTTAATGTATCATCAAGATAACTTTTAACAATGAAGTGTGTATAATTTTTCAGCGTGAATGTTACTAAAAATATTTTTTACAGCTGCAGAAATTTGTACGAATCGTTCAATTGTGATTGTGGCCAGTCTTTGGTACCAATTTTTTAGTGGCCAAGATTTGGTACATTTACCTTAATTGAATTTGATCACGTGTTATGTTCTTATACTTTTTACTTATTTCATAGATCATTCAATCTCGTCCGCCGTGTCCGATTGAGGAATGACTATCATACAGTACGTCAAATAAATCTTCCATGGCACAATAACACTTAATATCAGCATTCGCTTCACTAATTGATAAAATTAACTTTTCGCGTCCTTCAACGTTTAGCACATCGTAGTCTTGCAGCAACCAATAATGTCGTAAAGATTTACCAGTCTCTTTGCACTTTTCTTCTTTAACTTCTTTTATTAGATCTAAGATTTTCACATTACTCAGTATAACCAAATTCGATTTGTTGTCTACTGATTTCAGTTTATTCTCAAAACGCTGCCTCGGGATTTCTTTCGCTCCCTGAGCCATTTTTAAGCCAGTCCTCAAACTACGACCGTGTACGTCAAAAGTAAACAGCAAACTGAGAAGTAATTAGCTAATCAACGAGTATTTGTTGATAATTTCATACTTTGCCAGGTATCTCTTAGGCATTCTATAGAATGCCTAGGCAAAGTGTGAAATATAGACTTATTCTATACTTTTCCTAACTCTGTTAGGAATTCCATAAAATGCCTGATTATACACTTTGCCGGTTATATATACAACGTATACTTTTTTTTCATATTATAGTGCTTTATATCCGGCTCCTATAAAGGGCACTACTGAGGGCACTTAGCACTTGAGAGAAGGAAGGGAAGAGGGATGGGAGGCCTCCCATTACTGGGAGGGGGATAGGGAGAAATTAGGCAATTATGATGCTAGGAGATCGCCTAAAAACTCCTCGAGGAGCATTGCGTAATGAAAAAGCACATGTGAAAAATCACAGAGGTACTTGCCCGAAAAAGTCGCACTGGCCAGGGATTGAACCACGGTCTCCCGCGTGCCAATCCACGACCTAGCTGACTGAGCCACCGCGCGCTACTTCATTGTCTACTTGCTTATAATAGTAACCAGTTAATATGCAACTGTATTTACAGGCTACCCACATATACCAAAATAAATAAAAAAGAAGGTTGTATGAGAGCTCTCGAGGACTTAATATTGTGTTTTTTATATTTTCTATATAGCTATATCTTTGCCACAGGATTCTCGAAGCTGTACACTTCAAAATATTAAAAATTACAGTATTTGACAATGGCAATAAATTAAAAGTTTTATATATTAATGGATATCGACTAAGAAAAAATAAGCAACAAAGAAGATTCTATATTTAGTGATACTGCAATGTTTGTACAATTGTTTTTGTATAAAAAGACCAATAAAGGTATTATAAAAATGGCTGACTCTCAAATAAAAACCATACCAACACGTACAGTAAACACAAATAATAAAAAGTATCAGCTTATGAATAAAGTATTTTATCAAGATCGTTTATTAAAAGTTTACTCTACAAATATGTAAGGTCATCAAATCAGTGGTTTCATGTCCACCGCAAGGATTTATCCAAAACTTATAACTGAATAGTGCTAAGGATCCTTAAATATTATATTTAAAGCAAATTTTAATTATTTTATAAAATTAAATGCAAAAAAAAATTCAATTACAAAATTTCTGGAAACAAAACCATTTTATTGAAAAACCACCATTTATGAATTTCATTAGCTCTTATAAATTATTTCTATTAGGACGGGTTGACCTAAGAAATCTTTAACACAAAAGTGAAGTTTTGACTATTAAAATAACTTCCATCTAAACTTAATGGTTAGGCGAGTTGAATGTTTATTTAATATCTGTCTAATAAAGAATCATGGTTACAATACTAATGTCTTAATATAGTGATATGTTGTCAAGTAGTTATTTTTTTAGTAGAAACTGAGAATTTTAGGAGCTTTTGTTATAAACATGCAGAATATAAGTAACGCTTTTCATTTTAAAGTAAAAACTAAATTAAACATTTGTTAAGTAAAAAATTAATCAAAAAAGGCAAGTTTGTTGCCTTCTATAAGAGCTGTTATTCATAAGACATAATTTAATAATAATATAGAAAATATACATTAATATATAATATAATATGTTGAAACCACAACTTGGAATACATATACCATAAAAAACGCTGTATTTCAGAGAAAAAGTAGAAAAAGCAAAATCAATAATTTTGTACTGATACTTAAATGAAACAATTAAATATTTTGTGTTTCAACAATATCTCTAAAGGTTAAAAAAAACATACAAGAAACATGTTACACATTGCAAATGAACCCAGAAGTTGAGAAACTGTTAGTTAGCAGTTTAAGTTTAACATAACGTTGATAATAATAAAAAATAGCATAACTTTAAGATCATGCTAAAAACATTAGAAAAACTACTCTTATAGGGTTTAATGGGACAAAGAAAATATTGTGATGTACAAATAAGGATCGATTATTCAAAATGCAAATACAACATTAGAGTTTTCTTTGACTTTTTCTGTACTTTTTATGATAAAGAGTTTGCCATCATAACACATGCAGAATATGACAGTGAACGTGCAAAGAATGTTTTTTAATAGTTTTATGGCATCATAACCTTTAAAACCAGGTGATTGACCTGTTATCTTATGAAATAACTCAAGACTGTAACAAATGAGCCTTATAGGTAGTTATTGCTTATGTTGCTTAAGATTTGCGAAAAAATAATAGTTTTCTTTTCTGTAGCTTTAGTCCAGTAATAGACTGTTACTATTATTACTACCACTGGGAGTCCTAAGACTGACAACTTAGTTTCATTCAAGTTAAAAGCCACATAATTAATTTAAAAATGATTTAGATTCTTAAAATTCTTCAATAATAATTCGAGAATATAGTGATATTAAACTTCTAATACTCAACATACTTGGTGCCACGATCGTAGGTCGGAGTAGCACACAACTTTTTTTCGGGGTTCTAAATTTTTTTTAAAATACTGTCCTTGTTTAAGAATATAGTTTTTAAAAAATACTGGTATACATTAAATTTTAGTTAATATTTATTAAAAAAATCAAACTTTCTTCATAGTAAATTCGTGATTACCATTATGAAGACCATAGGAGAAGTGTCAGTAAACTCTACTGTTGATAAAAAACTTTTTAATGTATTGCTTATTATAAATTTAACTATTAATACCTTAAGCTTCAATGTCTAAAGTCTTTCAGATAAGAATGCACGTAGTACAAAGTTATTAGTATATTGACTTCATTTGCTTAAGTACAAAATTGGTTAAAAGGAGAAATAACACAATCATGTACTATAGTAACTAGTTACCATCCTTATAATTGTTTTGTGACTCCTGGCACAACTAAAACTTTGAAACAGCGTATTACTAGTATCAAGAAACAAAAAAAAAAATTTAGATATCAAATAATTTTTTATGTAGCACTTGTGTTAGTTTTAAAATCACTAATTAAAAGTACTTATGAATGTATAAAGTATTACTCATTTTGAAATAATTATAGCCTGATAATATAGTATTTTTTGTGCAGAAATTATGTTTATTTATGGTCGTTACACCTATGTTCACCACTTTTGTATCAATAGTAAAAAAAACTTTGGGATCATGCAGTTTTAATACATTAGTGATAAGGGAGTTGTATGATCCAACAACCGTTGGCAGTTTGTTCAAGAAAACTTTTGTTTAAAGTTTACACTGTAAAATATTTTTATAATATTATTCTAAGAAATAGAAAGATAAAAGTTTCAGCTTTTAAATCAAAATCGTTTTGGCACAAGAGCAAAACCTTCTCTACTACGGCCCTGAGTACCTACAACTGATAACATTCTACTGTACAGTAATACGTTTACAGGTATTAGGTAACTCGTAGATTAATTTTCAAATTTTAGATTCAGAAATATTTTACTTAAAAAAATTCAAATTTTTAAAATGTACTTGTTTTATTATGTTACTTTAACTTCAAAATTTAAAGTAATAAACTTAAAAAAGTCAGTCAGAAAGAAGTCATAGGAAAATATGTAGCATGTATCTCAGCATTTTTCTTAGAAAAAATTGTTCATCTGAAATTCAAGTTAAAACGTACTTGATTACTCGTCATATTCTCTTTGCTTTAGAGGGAAAAAGTTTTATGATATTTAAAGTTGTAATAAAATAATTTTGAAAGTTTGATAAGAATTTCTCGTTGCTTCGTCATATCTCAATTGAACCCGCATCAACGTACTCCTACACAAATTTTTATGCTAGAGAACAAAACTTTTCTTCAATACTTAAAGTTTAAGTGGCTTCTAACAATATTAGAAAACGCATTGTTTTATAGCTAGCAAATAACTAGAGAAATAAAGTTTTTTAAAACTATAACAAAGTGTAAAAGAAGATGTGTGGATACATACTTGTCCAGTACCTCCCCAATTTCCATCAAATAAGCCAGGGTTTTCATAATCAATTTCAAGCTCTCGTAGAAACTCATATTTCTGACTATGTGTTGAAAATTTTAAGTTTCTACATAAAATACTTCGATAAAAAGGTTTAATCGTCGTGACATAATGCATTATAAAACAATATTGAAGGAAATATAAAATATATAACTACACGTTTATTAGCCAGGAGATTTAAACAAAAATTATATTGATCTTTTAAAAATCGTACATGCTATTTATTCGTATAACATATATCTTAGATCTCTAAAAGACAGATTCAGTATTGAACTTATGTAAGGCAAATGTACATGTGATATGGAAAAGCTGAAGAGTTACAGATAAGAATAACACACAAACAGCACAGTAAATGTGATAATGTGCCATGATCAAAGGGAATTGAGAAAGATTTACTTGATTGTGTACATTATAACTTTTTTATGACTATTTTGTACCTCTGCAATTATTTGAAAACAGTTTTGTAAAAATCATTGGAGCTCACTTCTTAATGTACCAACATTTCATAATATTTTAGTGAATCATTCCATCATTAATCCTGAGTACTAATAACTCTCTCTAAACTAATTTCCTCCGTTAGTTTAAATAAGTTGTAAGATAAAAAAAGCGAAAAATTTTCTTGAACTTTTTTCAAGTAATACCTTTTTATTAAAATAAAAGAGAATTTAATACGAGGGAGTTTTGAAGCCCTTCTATAATCGAAGGCTGATTTTAACGTATAAATAAAAATGTTATCACACAATACATAGTATTGATATACAATAGTAAATGTAGACATAGAAATCGTCTTCAACAATGTGTTCTTTTGTATATAATTATTTATTATTTGATACTTTTACCTTCAAACCATAAGACTTTTAGTAAACATTCCTCTATTTTTCTATAATTGATATTTCTTACCATTAAATAATAAATTTCTCACAAGCTTCAAAGATAACAACTTAAAGAGGTGGAATTACTACTAAAGTTTTTCAGAGGATAATGTTGTTTGTCAAATTTTTCAACTGTTTGATTATTAATGTCTAAGAATACCAAAAAGTTAAGATTGTTTAGTCATAATTTACTGTATTTACCAATAAACATTTTTTTTATAGTTATTAAAATATATTTGTAGTAGAATAGGGCTACACATGGTATATCCCATTTAGAGTAAGCTGAAGTACTGAATTAATTTTTTTTGACGGGGCAAGGAGAATAAATCTTTTGAAGACCCTTGGATTATGACCAGCTCTAGTGCTGAATTTATATAGGTGCCTACTGATTAAAAACTTAAATTTTTTCATGAAGCCAGTCCATAAGGAGTAGTTTTTCGAGAAGACAAAAAGGACCTGAGAAAAAAAAACTATGGAAAATTAAGGAGACTTTTCGAGGCTAGCTTTTTTATAAAGGGAGAAGAGGAAGGGCAGTTACGCATCAGGCTAAAGTTGTGAAGTACTGGGGTTCTATCACGGCTTTCGATATCTCGCAAAGGTCTGTATTTTTTCGATAATTCTTAGACGGCGGATGCGCTTAACCATAATTTTACTTCAATTACCGAAAAAAATACAGACTTTTGCGAGATATCAAAAGCCATGATAGAAGCGTAACCTTACAAAAAAATCTTAGGTGAAAACTGATAAATGTTTTGATGAGACTCCGATAGATTTACTAGTCTAACCTCTCCTTACTGATTTAGTAATGATTGATTAAGAGAACCAATGCCTACACATATTAAAAACAGAATTTAATTTCAACTCTTTAATTTACTACAGATATGTAAATATGATATAATTTCGTGCATATCATCAAGTTACATTGACGATATTCTCAAAATTTTTACTAGTTATTGATATGTTACAACTTATTTATGGGACAAATAACGATAATTTTTCTAACTATTTAGATACAACAATAATTGTAAATATCAACAAAAAAATTATTACTATTTGGTTCTCAAAATCTTCCTCACCACACAGAATTTTTTTTTATTAAACTATCTAATATTTTTAAAACAGAATATGGTTTTGAATCAGATTTGTGAATTAGTTTTACATTTGCACACTGTATTTTATTATGATAATATTAAAATGTTAAACATTTATTAGATCGTAATAACTGTCTACAAAATTTGTACAATTCACTTGTCAGAAATTAGTTATACAAGTATAAACACCATCATTAGGATGATAAAATAAATAATAGGTTATCTAGTACTCATAATGCTTAATTGTGACAATTTGTAACATGTTTACTTTTTAATAACAACCATTTTGATGCAGCAAAGAATTAAAAAAAAGGTTACTGACCGATACTGAAAACTAACTATGCAGGTTATGGCTTTGTACGTCTTGATGAAAATAAAACTAATTTGTTAGGTTATATCGACACTGTCTATAAGTAAAGGCGTAATGATTGTGGTGTTGAGTATGTGGAACAATTAGGACGCTCGGCACAGACTACATATAAGAAGCACACTTGCTCTAATAGTTAATTAGTTGTAACAACACACATAAAAGGATTTAAACACACACTAGAACTAAGTAACTTAATTTAAGTGCTATGCTCGAAAATATCACCAATGGCGTTTAACCTAGACAAATCATTATCAACTCTGCGTTTATAAGCATTCAATTAGTCAACTTTTATACTGTGCCTAATATAAATTTAGAACTTAGCAACTGCCATTGCAAGTAAGTACTGGAGTTTTGATGAAACTACATTCTTATATTATATTATAGTATCAATTGTCTAAATCAGCATTTTACTAATTATTGGTCTTTTAATATACAGAATACTAAGATTTGGGTCTTTGATTGCCTGGCAGAAGTAACACTTACCAACGATATTTTACTGAACTGGTTGTTATAGATAGTATTTTTGGCTTATCTTGTTTGACCGTTGTGACGTAAGTATCTAGTTCATGAAGGTTACAGTGCCATCACGTTATTAGGATTCATCTCTTGTACGTTTATACTAATATCATTCATTGTCATACGTTCAGCATTAGCTTTAAATTTCTAATTTTTCTACAATTTTTGACGATTCTGGTGTAAAAGAATGTTAAAAATAGTTGATCCAATTCTGCACTTATTTTTTAAATAATTTAAAAAATTTCTAAGATTTAGCTTAATATCAAAAATAAATTACAAAACCAAAAAAATTTTAAGTTACTTTGTTGTCGACTTAAAGCCTCTTTATGAGAGTGCTGTAATAATACTTGTTCCTTCAAAAAAACTCATAGAAATAGTTATTTTCCATTCATTTTGTTCTCTATTCAAAGTAGAACGTTTTTTTATAATTTTGATGTAATAATATCTGTATTTTCCAATACTTCTTAAACAATTATTAAAATACTTTAAACGTACAATATTAAGAACTTCTCACCCCAAATTATTTGAATTAGCATAGGGTAGGATTTAATTAAAATCCAAAAAATTGACATGACCTCTCCAATTTGGTTCAGTGACAAAGGTCCAAACAATTTCTTATGTTCGATACGCATAGATATACGTATCCACACGTATACATACATATATACACATATACTATTTCCTGCAGTGGCTGTAGTATTTCCTGACTCAGTTGATACGTAAGTCAGAGGTTTGCACATACCACGGAGTAACGTCAGACATGATGTTAGAAAGAGGCGCTCCCAAAATAGAAGCGTTTCCAAAACGCCAACCCTTCTTATCATTAAATAAAATATTGCTGCTTGAGCATTTGCAGATTTTTTCAGCTGTGCAGTGTCGAAAACAATGTAAGGTATTATACATATTTTAGATTTTCACATAAATAATTATTCATCCTCTTCTGTATATTACATCAAAACCTTAACTCCTTGTATATCAAATCAAAATAAAGTTGACTATCAACTTTATACTAAATAACTTCTTAAATGATTTGTGATGAACAATTAATGACAAGTTAAAGCTGAAGTAGATAACCAAAAAAGTTTATAAATGATTCCTTCTATAAGCCACGGATTGTACCTAACTAATTAATGTGGTCAAGTGTTGGGCATTAATAAAATAGCCCATGATATGGCAATAGTCAGCACAGGCATATTTCCCAAGCTATCATGCATACTTCGTGCACCCAATTCTTATATGCAAATGGCTCTATATACATCGTCCGCTTTGCAAGATAAGAAGAAAAGGCTGAAGGATCAGTATACTACAGTTTCAGTTAAAATATATAGTAATCATTTATATCTTATTTAAGGTGCCTACTGATTAAAAACTTAAATTTTTTCATGAAGCCAGTCCATAAGGAGTAGTTTTTCGAGAAGACAAAAAGGACCTGAGAAAAAAAAACTATGGAAAATTAAGGAGACTTTTCGAGGCTAGCTTTTTTATAAAGGGAGAAGAGGAAGGGCAGTTACGCATCAGGCTAAAGTTGTGAAGTACTGGGGTTCTATCACGGCTTTCGATATCTCGCAAAGGTCTGTATTTTTTCGATAATTCTTAGACGGCGGATGCGCTTAACCATAATTTTACTTCAATTACCGAAAAAAATACAGACTTTTGCGAGATATCAAAAGCCATGATAGAAGCGTAACCTTACAAAAAAATCTTAGGTGAAAACTGATAAATGTTTTGATGAGACTCCGATAGATTTACTAGTCTAACCTCTCCTTACTGATTTAGTAATGATTGATTAAGAGAACCAATGCCTACACATATTAAAAACAGAATTTAATTTCAACTCTTTAATTTACTACAGATATGTAAATATGATATAATTTCGTGCATATCATCAAGTTACATTGACGATATTCTCAAAATTTTTACTAGTTATTGATATGTTACAACTTATTTATGGGACAAATAACGATAATTTTTCTAACTATTTAGATACAACAATAATTGTNAACATTTAAACACATTTGAAGCATTTAAAGTATTTCTTACCATTTTTCTTCTTGCAACTCTAAAAAATTTATAATTTTTTGTGAATCCTTATGGCTGCTTTTCATCAACATTGTTGTAATATATTTGTTAGCAAAGTGGTTCAAGGCTTTATGGCCCTTAAAAGGACCAATAAAATTAATTTCATCTGAAAGAGGTAATGCTTAAAACTCTCTCTTTCTCTCTCTCTCTTTCTGTCTCCCACTCTCTGCTATTCTATTCTATATCACTTGTTATTTTTTCTGTAATTCTTAAATTCTGATCTCTACGCTCTGCTTTTTCGGATGCTTCGTACCATACTCACTTTGATAAGCAGTTGGCCTGCAGAGATGCGGAAGCCATTTCATTTGTATCTAAAAATCTTTAAGGTTCCTAAGAACCGGCAAATAGTTAGAGGTTTCAAAAACTAAATCCTTGATACAACAACCTGATGTTGAGTGCGTTTGAGA